AAGGTTGCTTGATCCCAGGTAATGAAAAGAAAAGAAAAGAAAAAGAAAGAAAGGAAAAGAAAAGAAAAGAAAGGAAAGGAAAGGAAAGGAAAAGAAAAGTTTGTGCTAATATAGTTTGTAGAAATTTAAATGCCCATATCTTGTGCAGTAACTACTTTAAAGAAAACAATATGTAATATATTATCTATTCTTATTCTCCCGTTGATTTGTTTTGGAACTTTGTTCTAACTTTTTCATAAAATACAAAATATTGAAAAAGGGATTTTTTTCAATTTCAATTTCAAGGAAATGGGAAGAAGAAAAGCCAGAAAATTCCTACTGTAAGAATTCTGGGTTTGTGAAAGGTGAATGTCATTTGTGTGGAAACACACAGAGGATTTACAAGTTAGAAAAGAGCTAGAAGAAAGATCAGGAAGGTCTAGCTCAAGATTCACTGGGTGTCACTTGGTACCTGGATCTCTTGACAGTACATAATGGGCTGAGGAGTGACCAGCCCCAATGTGCAAAGTGTGCTCCTCAGTTGGCAGCAAGAGGGAGACAGAGAGGAGCTGCAGAAGCTAAGACCCAGTGAGCACAGCTCTGCTGATGTCACAACAATGTGGGTGGTCTCACACCTGTATCTTGCAAGTGTACAGGCAATTTTGTGCTTCAAATCCCTGTGTGCTCCCAGATATCTATCCCATCACATGGGTTAGAAAACAAAGATCCCAATGTTTCAGTAATAAGATCTGGGAACCCTTTCACCATCTTCCTGGGAGTAGTCTTCTGTAGCAACCTCAAATCACCTCCAATTTCCTTGGCTTTGGCAGAGCTTTCACGCTCATGCGGTGGCTCCTTCTATCCTGCATATATCCCTGATGCCCTTTGTGATTTCTGCCCTCTTTGTTAACAGTGACCCTTGAAAGCCACTTTTGCTCCTTTCTTTTCTTAGTAAGCATCTTTGCTATGACACTTGCTCTCAGTGAGGAGCCACAAGGTAAGACTCATCCACTATGGAGGGTGGAGAGACTGATGTGCTTTTCGTCTCAAAAGGACCAGCTGGGTTGTTGGGCTACGGACAAATCAGGGCCAGGCCTGATTCCCAAGACCAAATATGTCTAGCCCTGTGAAATGAAGAGACTGCATCCTGGAAATCCTGGCTGCAAAGTCATCTTGCTAACCTTCCTGGAATCTACCCTCCTGTGACTCGCGCCTGAGCGTTGTCACAACATGCAATGCCCCTGTGACCAACGTTGAAAGCCATGAAAAGTTCCCAGGCTCTCCCAAGTGTTTTTGGTTGAATACTTGCACGCACTGACCTTCTGGAGTTGGGGACCAGCACCATGAAAAACTAAAAATAATCACTGAATGGGAGATGACTTCACTGCTTTTCCTTCGCAAAGCCAGGACAAAGCCAGGCATTGTTAGCACTCTCCAAGCTGGTGTTTCCTTTAAGGAAATGGGAAAGCACAAAGAAGGGTGCCCCTGAGGTAACTGGAAAGACCTGTGACTATAGTCATCAGAGACAATTACCCTGCTTTGGAATAAGTGAGATTTCATTGTCTGCAGACAGCTTGGAAATCATGTAAACAAAGTTGCATGCTAGCTGGATTTGAAGTTTATTGGCTCCCTGTAGGACAGGCAGAGTAAAACATTGCTTGGTGTCCTGATTCACACTAACATTGAAGTTTCAAGTATACTCACAAGAAAGCCATAACGCTTGTCTTTTTGATTCCAGTAGTTTGTAGATCCAGAATTTCCATATTTTTTCAGTACTGTGACTTTCTAAGGGTTTTCAATATTTTAATTTTAATAAATGAAAGAGGTCTCATGATTTTTTTACGCCCACACATAAGCCCCTGCTAAAATACTTAAGAATGACATAGGGTCGAATTGCCAGTATGTTAATTGTACTGCAATAAACCTGCTTGAAAACACACCCAAATAACAATAAACATTGCAGCAACATTGTAAAACACATTTGTGTAAAGCATGATTGGGATTCCAGCTCAAAACACCATGGAGTCTCAGAATTTCATCTATGTAGTCCAGTAGACTAGAAGAACCATGCCAACAGAGGACATGAAAGATGGGTTAAAATAATGTCTTTCTGAGGGGAGAGAAACTGAGCCAGCGGGGAAAAGGATACATGTTTTCACATTCTCTAAGGAGGAAATCAGGTCACCCAACAGCTATGGAAACAATCTGCTAAGAACACCCATTGTGAATTAGGAGGCAGAGCAGGGTTTACAGTGATGGAAGGTGAAATATACATCTATTCATCAAAATATAGTGCCTATGAAATAATAATTTCAAAATCATGGAAAAGAAAAGAGGACAGAACATAGAGAAAATAGATGAAAAATAGATAGACAGATAGATAGATAGATAAACAGATAGACAGACAGATTGTTAGAACAGAAAATCCCCAGAGTTTAGGACATGAAGATGATTCAGAGTTTAGGTAGCTGACCTTTGACCTTTGACCTTTCAGAAGGCCAGAGAAGAGAGAACTGCAGAAGAAGAAAACATGCCATCCTGGGTGGGGATCATGTGAGGATTCAGAAGACCACAGAGGAGAACAAGATCATGAAGAAAGTATGATAGATTCAGAGAAAACATCTCCTCATCAAATGGATGAAGACTAAACTAGCCCTGTTCCCCAGGACAAAAGAGATCAGTGATGCACCCCACCCAGGGAGATGAAGAGGACAGAAAACCTCATCCTTCAGCTGGCACTGGCAGGGCCCTCAGAAGATCTTGCCTGTGATCTGTGGAAACATTTCTCTGCCCTTTTTAGAATCCCTGCAGTTCATCAAAAAGCAAGACTCCAAAATATCAAATCTTTACCAACTTACCAAATAACATTATGGAGCACAGCTCATGGATCATTAACAGTGTGGGATGTTCCAGCTGTCAAGGATAAGAGTCTAAGGAGACCTCAGGACCTACCAGAGACACACAGCAGCAAGGAAGCACAACTCTGCCGAGGAAAGGAATCTTGAATAAAGCCATCCAGGTAGGAAAAGAGAGGAAAACTCTGGCCTTTATTTACACATGATTGCCTGTGAAGAAAATGTAGTAAAACTGTGCAACTTAGACACAGTGTGAGCTCTGCATGTTTGCAGGAAATGCTTCCAATATATTTTGCCTAGCTGCTGTAAGGGCTTATGACAATTAACACTAAGGAGTTCATTTTGCCTTTTAAAGAGACATCTTCTGTTATTAAAGCACTTACCTAAGAGAACTTGTAAGTTTTTCCTCTGACTCTGAAAGGAATTTAAAACTTTCTGAATGCTAAAAGAAGGGAAAAGGCCTCTTGACACCCTTAAGACCAAGGAAGGTCTTTGTCAGGGTCATCACTTTAAATGTAGGCAGCACAGAAAATATTGTCCCCTTGGGGCTGGGCATTTAGCTCAGTGGCATAAGCACCTGCCTTGCAAGCAGGCGGTCATGAGTTCAATCCCCGGTACCGATAAAAATGAAAAAGACAAAAAAAAAAAAAAAAAAAAAAAAAAAAAGAAGAAGAAGAAAAAAAGAAAATATTGTCCCCACCTTCCTTTGCAGTTAGGGTTGGGGGAGTAGAAACTTAACAGTGGGGGGTCTCCTTCCTCTAGGTGGCTAAAGTATCTCCAGTGATAAAAGATGTGTGATGTGCATGGATGAACTCCCTCACAGAATGGAATCATTATGTAGATTAATACTTCTGTGACCTGCAGTCACTACAAATCAAACCACCAATGTTGAAGGGAATGATGTACAGGAATCTCTATGAATCCTTATCTAAACAGGAGGTGGGGTATTGTGAAGTTTAGATATTCTATAATTACACTGTAATGTATCTTTTTGCCTCCACTGAAAACAAGTTTTGGAATATTTTTACAAAGAGACCGATCTGCTGCACACGAAGAAGCTGAAGAGACAAATCAGATATTAGACTTGTAAATAAAAATTGCATTTATGCAGTTGCTGTTAATTTTATACGTGATTTCAATTCTCAGTTCTGACAACACAGTGCAAATGTATTTCAAAATGCTGAGTGAGGATAGTTAATGCTGAAAGCCAAGACTTAATGTTTTGCATGTTCTTACTTTCCCTAAGGTATCTACAATAACTTTGTCTACTAAAACTCCAGAAACTTTCCTCCCCCATGGACAAATGGATGAAAAACTGGAAGAGCCATTGATAAAAATAAACTGAGACACAATAGAAATTCATTTTATTTTCAGTAGAACAAGCATTCATGCCAGGGATGGTGGTCTAGAGAAAAAACAGGGATTTCCCCAACTAATTGGCAGGGCACCTGAGGAATCACTGTACTAGGCTGTCACTGCTTAGGGCTGGATGATAGATGAGGAAAACTGAATCCTGTTTTGCAGCTGAGGCTTGTTCAGAAATTATTGCTCAATGCTATCCATTAAGGGAAGCATCGGCGAAAGCAGATCCAAAATGTAGTTGATAGAATTCTCGAGAAGGTGGGCATCTTCTGAAGTTATCAGGCTAAAGGAATGGGAAAACAGATTCATAGCACCCATGATCAGGTCCCCCTGCCCATCCACCCAATGTTCAGCATATAGTTTAGAGCCCACCACTCCCCAAGCCAGTCAGGCGCCAGCAGGCTCCACACAACATGGCCTCTCCATAGACTGCAGTTGGGGTCTGTGTTGGTCCACTGGGCGCACCCTCCACACCCGCTGCCCCCCACACAGCCCACAGCTACCCATGACTCACATTTTCAGGTCTTTGCCACTCACTGTGATCTCTCTGTGAACTCCCCTTGTAGGAGGGTCAGCTACCAAGGAAAGGTGTAGGCAAACAAATTCTGCATCCATGGCACTACGGAAAGGCACTGAGAGGCTGCTGGTGGACGCGTGGTTAAGGCAACTGTGACACAGGCTTCTCCCTCAGGCCACCAGGGCACACTACAGTGTCTCATTGGGCCCTGCCCCTCCTGGAAGCTCGGCCCCACCCCAGTCTGCCTCGCCTAGCCTCCGGGGTCCCCATCTTCACTCTTGTCCCAGTGGGCACCTCTTTATCCCCACTGCGATCCCGCCAGTCCCAGACAAACTCCCGCTCGACACTCAGGAAGGATACAACTCCTGTGGTTCTCCTGTGGAGTCTCCAGAGGGAGCAGATGCTTCTCTGGGCATAGGCCCCTGCCCCACACCCTGGTCTTCGGGGAGCTCCCTAGCAACAGCGCCATCCACTAGTGCCCCTTCACCACCACCGGTAGGGTCAGGCCCTCCAGGACCCCCTGGTGTACCTATGTCGCCCTCTTCTCTCTCCTCACTTCGCTGGGCGTTTTCTGGAGCCTGCATTGTTCACCAGGCTCCGGGGCTCCTAACCAGCACGGAGTGCTACCGCAGCCGCGCAGTTTGGTTAACAGAAAGAGCAGAATGCCAGGCGCCTTAACCTTCTACTCACAATGCAGCGCGTGATGCGCACAGCGCCTGCGCAGATGGGCGCAGAATGACTTTTATGATGTACTTTGCAACCCTTGTTAGAGAATTCTGACATCTAATGCATTTATTATCTTATTGTCACCTGATTATTATTTGTCATTCAAGTTGTCTCTTTTTCATTTTTTCGTGTAAGGAATGATTTAGATGATGCTGGGGTTTTGTTTATTGGGCTAGGAGACCTTGGGCTGTATTTAGAGTTTTGGATATAAACAGACACTCCCATGTTTGCGGTTGCCCTTCATGCCCAGATCTATGCTGGACTGTTTTTCAGGTAGACATGGGGTCATCTTGATGTGACTGGATTGTCTCATACTCCTGGTATTTTCTCCTTGGCCTTGAGGTTGCTGTTTGACACAGTGAATGGTGGCTATTCTGGAAGAGCATGTTTTTGAGAGTCGATGGGGAAAGGGATTCTGATGCCCTCAAAAAGAATAAAGCTCATACGCTTGGGGAGTTTTGGAGGCAGGATCCTCTGGCTATTGTGTGCAACATTTCTCAGACTTGGATTTTGCAATGACAGAGATTAGTTAGGTGCTACCATCTTAGAGAAAAGTGTGTGGTGGAGGGGTGAATATTTGAGGCCTGAAGGAAGGCAGGGTGCCTCGTGACCTGAAGGATAGTTGTGGTAAAACATCTGCTTTCAGTGGAGCCTTGAGGTCTTTGTTGTCAAGGTCTTTAGCTGCAAGTGGTCTGTCTTGGGGAGGGGATCAACAACCACATAGGGTGTGGAACCCTTCAATGTGCGGGGCCAGGGCTACTGGTAAGTGGAGTCTTGGACATCATCAGAAGAGCAGAGAGATAGTACAGTTTTATTGCTGTGGCACCTTTACTATGGGTATCATGCCAGTTCAGTTGCCCTTTATTTAGAACAGAGCTTTGGTCTTGGGCAATGGACAGTGTGTTGAATCCTAGGCCTCAGGATGACAGAAATGTGGCAGTACTTACAAATTGTGATTTCTGTTGTCCTCAAATCTGCCTTCTCATTGCCTCTCTCTTTCCTCTTGAAGGCATTGAAGCAATTAAGACTCTATTACTCAAAATACACCACTGTGGCAAGGTGACTGTGTTCATGTAAAGGCACTTCAGGATCAGAAACTGCAAGAGGCTCATTCTTACCTACTCACTTTTTCTTAAAAGCAGACAACATTTCCAGGGAAAGATGCCCTCTCTACACTAGAATAAAAGCAGCGTTGTTATCCTCCAGGACTAGAATCTGAAGCCAAGGGAATTCTGTGTAGATTGACCCCAGTTAGCTTGCATTTTCTTACCCCTACACTGTTCAGCTCCTTTTCCCAACTCACTGCACTGTCACCTTCAGTATGAGTTTGTCCCAAATTTCTTTATGAGTGCTGCCACTGCATGAAAAATATGGATGAAATAAATTTGCATGCGTTTCTCCAGTTGATCTGCTTCTGTGAATTTAATTGGTAGCCTCAGCTGAAAACCTCCGGCAGGAGAGCAAAGCAGTTCCCTCCTCTATAAGGTAACAGAGCACAGAGATAATAGGGTCCCCATGTAAGGTGGAAATTCCTATTGTCTCTGCAGGGCCTTCTCCTCCAAGCCAGCCTCTCCCTGGGCCCATACTTCCCACTTGCGGAGGGAATTTCTCTCTCAGCATCATGTGTTCCTGCCTACCTGTGTCTCCTCCACTCCTCACACTAGGCCTGCTGCTCTCCTCACCGCAACAATGACTCAGCAGCCACATTCCCCTTTTCTCCCATGACTCTTCTGTGAAGTTGTCCCTGATGACTCTGGGTGTGATGGAAACTTTCACACAAAAGGGGTAGGAATTTGTCCATTTCCCCAAAGAAAGGCCCAGGCGCCTAAGATCAATGGCTCTGTTACCTTAAAGAACACTCCTGTTTGAGTCCCAGCACCTGATCAGAAAAATGATGTACTCATATACTGAGACAGAGATTAGACAAGATGAGTGCAGTGCACTAAAGTAGTTACATAAATGCTCACACACACACACACACACACACACACACACACACACACACTGGGATATAGTTCTAGTGCAAATAGGAGCCCACTGAAGGTTGCACCTAGACATGAACTGGATTTTTAGCCTCTGTGCATTAGTAATGCCATATTTCTCCTTCTCGGTGTTTAGGTTGATATTGTGTAACTCCTAAAAGAGACTAATATAGTGAAAATTCTATTCCTGGTCATGAGATCCAGACCCAGAATCACAGAGTGTACAGTTTTGAAGTAATTGCTGGGGAGTGAAGTCCCGTGCCCCTCAGTGGGGTTATTTACACTGTATCACCAATACACACATAGTCTGTATACTACACATAGTTTATATGTGACTGCGCACACATAATCACTGACTAAGATTGACCCTGTCAAAGACTGTGCATATGCACGTTGCCATCAGGGCTCACTCCAGGGTGGCCAGCACTTGGCAGTCTATTCTGTCCTCTGAAGCCAAGCATGCACACAACTTTGTCTCCTGAGAGTCAGCTTTAGCTGCTTTTTTTGCACCCTGGGATTCTAAGCAGCCTGTCTACTTGATCTAGTGAATTCAGGATGAATGATTTCATACTTGACATGAATAATGAGACACAATTCTGGGCACAGACTGTGTGTGCTTTAGGGCAAACCTGTGATTCTCATGAGTTTCAGGGGAAGAGCTGATATTCTACCTGTAACTACTGCCATCTCCTATTGTGAGTGCACACCCACAGCTACCTGTTAGATAGTCCTTGGGAAGAGAGGCACATACAAAGGAAGCCAGGTTGCAGTGGGCTTCAGTGAGGACACGTGAATTTTGGAGTCATATAGTTCTTGCTTTAAGTATTTTCCTTTGTGACTGTGGTGCTAAAGGAGGTCTAGATGACAAGAAACTCAATGACGAGGCCACGTTACAATAAAGTAGATGTATTAAAATTCTTTATAAAAAGGAAATGATACCTAATAGGTGGAGGTTTTTCTTCAAAAGCACAAAACTAGCACAACCTTTGTTGCAAGGACGGTAGCATGTTGCTGAAAATACATTAAAAATCATTCCATTGTATGGTCTGGATGGACGAATTGCAAATTATATCAATTACCTCTCAAAGAACTCTTTGTAAAAATTAGGAGATGACATAATTGGCACATAGGACATATTTTGTGAACCTACTCAGGATCAGTGGCTTTTTTGCTGTTGTTCAGGGTATGTTTCAAAAAATGAGTAGAGAGCCTCTATTATCATCACATCGGCCCTAAAGTCTCAGCTTGTTGGTGAAAATCTCTATGTCAGTACTCTGGAGCGCTACAGACCCATGGTGGAATGTCTACATTTGATGTCATTTCCTTCCTAGTAGAGTAGAAATCCTTGTATTATGGCTGCAATTTACTTCCTTTCAAATCCTCATACCATCTTGGGGACAAAAGTGGTGTTTCAATGAATGAGAAATGAATAAGGAAACCACCTTCAAAGAGCCTCTGAGTTACCATATGTCTGAAGCACAAGGCTCCAAGTGTGGCTTTACTGGGTTTCTGTAGAAAGCAGAAAGAATCAGAGGTTTACTTGCTAAAAAGCACAGGAATCTTATTCACTCACACAGCTGCTCTGGGCTGGGTTCTGAAGTGATCCCCTGAGCCCAGGGAGAACCTCTGGCAAAAGTGGCTGTGATTCACTCACACTTCAGTTGGTTGACAGCGTGCCATTACTCTCTGAAAACACGTGTCCACCTCACCCACGCTGCAGATTTAATGAGAGGTGAGGACTGCGGGGCCCATGCATCACTCATAAAGGTGGGCTCCTCTGTGATACCACCCATCTGTGTGGCCTCTTTCAAATGATGACTTCAACAGGAACCCAAAACAACCACAAGGAAACACAGGGGAGCAGTAAGAGGAACCATTTTCCATAAGGCATAGGACCTGTCTTTTTGTGCTCAAGGCTACGGCTTTCACAGCTGGCATACAAGAGGTGGCCATGCTTTATTTAGCAGAACAGTGAGTGAATATTAAAAGCCTGGGGAATCAAGATGTCAGTCATGGTCCCACAGAGTGGGAAACTCATGGTGGGAGCTGAAAGATGTGCCACCAACAGCTACGGGTTTCAGCCAAGTGTGAGACTTAGTAGACCCACAGGAACTCCCTGCAGCACTACTCTGGGTGCCTTTAAGTATCCAAGTCCTGGTCCTTGTCCTTTATGACCTCAGCTCTTCCTCAGAGTGGCCTACTTTTCCCCTCAGTGTCATCATTGTGTAATTTCTCCTGTGTGCCATGTGACCCACTGCATGAAAATATGCACTGTGCTTGGGTGGCCATGGAGTGTAGGAGGCTGGTCCTCTGTGTCTCTGCTCCTTGGGTTTGTGCTCTTGCTCCACTGCTGCTTCCTCACATTCAGTGATTTCTCCTCTCTCATCACAGTCAGGTTTGATAGCACATGACCCATCAGGGTTCCTGGTCTTGGGAGTGCTCAAGCGCCATTCTTCCCTGTGCCCCTCCTGTCTGTTCCATCTTATTCTTCACTAAGCCTTGTGCATCCCCCATTGCTTTTGTTCCTTGGCTCCCTCCTTTCTCCAGTCTGCTTAACCTCTCATTTCTCAATGTCAGGTTTCTGGCACAATTTCCATTTCCTGGATCTTGGAGTGAATATCTGGCTTTCTCTGCCCATAATTTTAGGGACTGAGCTATGTTATTTATGGATTTATTTTCTCCCAGGAATTGAACTCAGGATCTCTTGCTTGCCAGGCAGGTGATGTGCCACTGAGTCCTGTCCCTGGCCCTGGGATGAACTTTTAAATGGAGACATCTCAACGTCTTCTTGCCTATGGCTGGCTTAGCTCTAGTCAAAGGAATTCTCTCAATAGACTTTGACTGAACTAGTTTTCTAAGTCAGTTTGTCATTGCCTTCTTTTGATCACGTGTGTCAGAGCTATCACATATAGAGGTCTCGCTCAACTCTTTGGGATGTCAAAAGGTTATTTGTAGTCCCCACCCATCCCA